ATCATTCGTCTCGCGCATATCTCCGATATGTTAATAAATTAAATTTATACTCCTGTGAAATATTACGAGTATTAAAACAACAGTAACTACGTGACCGATGGCATTTACCCAAAAGTCACTCGATCTATTTCCCAGCCATTCATAAATACAGAATCGCGCGTATAGCGATAAAATTCACTCTGCACTGTTTACCCAACCGGTATCGTAACAAAAAAAGAGAGCTTTAACGGCATAAAAGGTTAATGCGACCTAGCGCATTCATCGCTTCCCCACCCGACGCGACGATCAGCTTCATTCATAAGTGCAACGAGCTACGATAAAATTCAATGTGCACTTAGCAGCGTAAACATCGCGAGCATGGCAGCAAGACAGAGACAGTTAATTGATCGAGAGACTTGATTTTTTTATTCGCGACGCGATGCAACGCGACGCGACACGGCGCGTTTATTTATTCATTCTTAATAACGACAATGGAAACGATAGAAATAGATAATAGAAATTTTCAAACAATTTTAGCAATATAATTTCTCAAAAATTACGATTTAAAAGTGTTTGTATTTAGTTTTTGAATAATTTTCGTTTTGAATAATTTTCTTTTTTTTTATTAAATATACTAATATTTTTCGGCGAAAGTATTAAAAATGTCAATAACTTATTATAAAAACATCACAGAAAATATGTTACGACAAATATCGTTTGTAAATTTTGTCATACATATATATGTATATATGTGTAATATTACATACATTTTATTTACATTAATATGAAAACGGAACTCCACGGACCTCAATCCGTTCCGACCTCGTTATTCGATCTGCACCGCTCAAATGTGCAATGCACACACATTTCTCTCCGATTTTCCATTACCGCTACGCACAGACTCTCGTTCCTAATCTCTCAACGTCTTCCGCCACGAAAGAGCAACGTAATCCTTCGTCTTTCTTTTGTTCGTGAAAGAAATCTTCCTTCGTTACTTCGTACGTCGTGTGAATTATCGATCGATCGCGAATCCAGCGTCTAGAAAAATATACGCGCTTGCAGGTGCATTTTAATGTAACTCACTTACATTGACTATAAAACTATAAAAAGACCTATAAGAACTATAGGAAAGTATAAGAAAACTAGAAACTGCCAAACCAAAATATTAAATTATAAAATCATCTTTTATAAACTTAGCTTTTATAAACTTAGACCAAGATAAAAATTCTTTTTGGTAAAGAATTAATGTAGCCGTATTATAACATTATCCATTTCAGAAGATATAAGAGAGAGAGAGAGAGAGAGAGAGAGAGAGAGAGAGAATTATAA